ATTAAAATATTGTCTAGATCCCGAGTTGCCATCCCCCGTAGTGTAATGTAAGAATAATCGAGAAAGTTTATGGGAGATCACTCCCGGTTTGTTTGTCTGTATCGTGACCTTAATCTATTTTTTCTTATCTATAATGTTTAGTCAAAGAACAAGAGAAAACGATCTCTCTGTTGATTGCAATGTTACGTGAAAAAAACAAAAAAGGTGTGTCATTTTTTAAAACATAATTTATCGTATTTTACGTTCGTCTATCCCCCTCCCTCCCATCCCCACCCCCAACATTCCTTCTTGTTAATTCATATTAGTCTTTAAAAAAAGTTTTAAACTTGAATGGCGTAAATGAATGTAACCAACCTATCATTGGGTCGTGTACTTCTCATCCACTCATTAAATCAAATAGCACTATTGATTTCAACTCTTATTGTCTTTTACAAAGAATGTAGATATACGTGTAAAGTGTGAAGTAATGGTAAGGCGTGGCCCAGCGGTAGACTGCTAAACTGCTAAATCGAAAGTTTCGAGTTCGAATCCAGGTTCAAGACAGTAGGACGTCTTACCGACTCAAGCCAGGGATCCGAACACACATGTATTGTACGCAGTGGCGTAGCCAGGATCGTCTCATAGGGGGGGGGTTCAAATTTTTGCCCGCATTATAAATGTATATATTAGAGGCGTAGCAACCCTCCCCGTCCCCCGAGGACAAACTTTTCATTTGCACCCCCCCTCAGACTTACGATTTTGCACCCCCCGCTATGGGGGGAGGGGGTTCTGACCCCCCCTAACAACCTCCCCTGCCTACGCCAATGATTGTACGATTTAAGTGTTCGAATCCGGGCTCGAGTGAATTGAACGTCCTTGTGTCTACTCAGCGCTGATGTGTATCTAACTTACATAAATAAAGGCGTCTGGGCATAGATCTGACCAGGCTATCCCTTCATATGCCTAGGTCAAGAAACATACGAACGCTACTTTAATGTTAGGCGTGAAAGGAAATTTTTTTTTATTTACTATAAAAGTAAAATTCCCTTTTAAACCGTACGGTCTACGGGGCAAGTGAAATAGAGTTCAATTGTTTCTGTGACCTTGGCATTTGAAGAGATAGTGTGGTCAGCACTATGCCCAGCCGCTTTTACTTTTTCTAACGTGAGTTGAGGTACCCATCAGAGTTGGGTTGGCTCAGGGACAGTCTACTGACTTGATCCCGGATTCGAACTCGTGACTTACGGGTTAGCAGTCCAGCCCTCTACCGCTAAACCACTCCGTCCCATACTAGTGTATAAGATTTTATAAAAACAAACATGCAATATGAACACAGACACGTTGTCTTACTTTTGTTAATGTCTATTTCAAAATTATTTTTTTGTATTTTTAGCCGCAGATTCTAACACCACAGAAGTAGGTAGAAAATATGCAGACATGACCTCACTCTGGGATACTGGCATCAAGAATCCAGGAGACCAGATGAAAGGCAACGACTTAAACCACCAACCCACTGGCATCAGTACTGAGGGAAGTGGTAAAGATGCTCTGGAATTTGATTGAAAATATTGGACACTTCTGTGGCTGCTGGTCTGGCGATGGTTGTAGTTTTTTTTTCAGGTTTAAATGAATTAACATTTCAAATATTTATCATAGGCGTTTTGTTTGTTCATTTTTAGAGGTATTTTAATTTAAGTGATATTTTATTTACTCTAGTTCTACTGATATAAGAGTTCAAAATATAATTATGAGAGAAATAATAAAATAGATTTTCAGCATGACATATTTTAGTGTAGAGTTGTTTTTTTCTAAAGTGCATATTTATGATGAGTCTTAATGATATTAATTACATAACGTGTATTGTATTATGCCTACATTAAAAAAGCAATAACGATTTTGTAAATGTAGTGTACTGGTTGTGTTTGTTTTGTTTAAATTTTCAAGTGGGCTTGGTTTGTATTTATCTAAGATAATTCTTAATGCTAGTATCTACATCATATGTATATTAATAGAAGTATGTAAGTATTTTAAATGTTGTGTACAGTTTTAATTTTGATTTAAGTTTTAAAAAGTGGCAGGTTTATACTTATTTTATAATTTGTGTCTCAATGATGTGGTTAAGTTTAGAAAAAGAAATATGTGTGTGTCTGTGTGTGAAAAATAATAATCTCACAACTCAATTTAATTTATTTGAAAAAATATATAATTTTATTCTAGAATCAGCAATAATTTATAATTTGTTTCAACTGTATTTTATAATTGGTATTGTATCCACAGTATAGGCTAATGTGACTTAATTAAATGTTCAAAAATAGACATTGCAACTAGTTATTAAATTTAAAATCTATTTCTGAATGTTTTCACATGTTTTGTTTTTGACATTGTTTTTAATTCAAAATAAATTCATACAAACCTACACCAAATTCCTCAAAGTACTGAAACCCAAAAGTCACACAAATGTATGCATCTGAGTGTGTCTGTGTTTGAAATATTCGTTTCAATTAGCTCATGGTTTTAAACCACCAGCATGGCTGTTTAAAATATTTTGTCTTCCTAAGCTCTACTGAGCTACTGGCTATTTGATTGAGATGTCCTGATTCGTGATTGTAAATTCCAAAAAAAAAAGAAAAATGTGTCCTAAAGATTTAATTAAATTCATTATAGCAACAAACCTACAGCTAAAGAAATGTTGCGTTTACTTTTTTAAAGTGTGTTATGAAAACACTGTATTCATTTTTTTTTAAAGCTAAGGTGGAAAAACATTCTAAAGTGATATTTTGTAAAAATTTATAAGATACATTTTCATTTGTTATTTGAATTAAATGATAATCAATGCCTAGTGTATGTATTATATTTTTTTGCATAATTGTATTCAACAAACTATGTACAGTCATTTTTCCTCCATCCGTAGCATTGATTGTTTTCTGTTTATTTTGAATTCTAAAATACTTATTGCCATTACAATTTGCAGACTTTGTAGTTGAAAATAAAGAAAAAAAACTTGGCAGCAATGTACTTCACGTTTTTTTTATTTCATTATGCTCGTAATCACCTGCTATTACAATTAGTTATGCCTTAATGAAAAAAAGTTTCTATTATAGTTAAGTTTATTTATTATAATTTTTATTTCAAAAATATTTCTACCTTCGGTTGTTTTCGTTTACATTTTTGTAGTAAAATTTTCTTTTTTTATTTTTTTGTTATAGATGTTAGCATAAAAAATCGTTAAATATAACATTAATCGAGACCTAATTGACCGAGCTTATTACTGCTGATTCAAATTATTGCACATTTTATTTATAGATGAAAGACTTACGAATTAGCAATGAATAGAACAGATGTGTAAACGTTTTTTATTATTTCATGATAATCGTAAACACCTGCTATTACAGTTAGTTATGCCTTTATCAAAACAAGTTTCATTTAAAGTTAAGTTTATTTATTATAATTTTTAATTTAAAAATATTTCTACCTTCGGTTGTTTTCGGGGTCGGCGTGGTCGAGTCGGTAAAGTTCATGGTTGTTAAACCTAAAAGTCTCGAGTTCCGAACCCCCGGGCAGATGAGGCTCGTTAGCTGGGGACAGTCACTCTTCTAGGAGAGACAACTCCAAAATCAAACAACTACTGCCTTGTAGTTTGTTCTTGGTTGGACAAAGGCTATGGAAGCAAATCCAAAAAGAAAAGCCGGCTGAAATCGGAGTCAATGGCCTCAATGGCGCATAACCAGTTGACACGTAACGCTTAATTGTGTTGGAGGCGTGGTCGAGTCGGTAAAAAGGTCAATTCGAACAAAGTCTCGAGTTCAAACCCACTGGCAGATAAATCTCGATCACCTTCAACACTAATAATTAAGAACGAAGAAGAAGAACATCAATATTTGAGTTTGAGTGACATGAAATTATTCCACTCTATAATTTTAGGCGCTAAGCATTTAACATAACAGCCAATCACCTATTAATTAACCATTCAATTTCTCATTTTTTTTTTAAACCTAAGCGAAGCTAGGCAGTATGCCTAGTATAGTAATAAGCTAATATTTAAATACTATTTAAATAAGAAAATTAAACGTAAGTCGTTTCTTAAATTCCCCTTTCTAATTATTATAATAGTACATATTACATTTGACATATTTGCTCCCTTAGTCAAATTATAACTAGAACCGGAATATTTTCCGAAAATAAAATTGAACCAAAACTTTAACATGAATAGAAATGGTACAGGTAGTTTTACAGGATTCGGAATTAAACCAGAAGAATAAATTAACCCTTTGCCGAAACAGTTCAAAAACTTGACATATTTGCTGAACAGGATATTTTCCTGAACTATAACTTATAAAAAATGGAAATTCAATAACAACCTAAATTTTATAGGAAGCTAAATTGTATTGAAAACAGAACCGGTATTTTAAACGAATACAGAAATTTAACAGTGAACGGAAATAAATCAAGATATTATATTGAACCAAGAAACTATCCTGAACCAGCATTTTATTTTAAACGGATATTTTATTTATTTGATTATGAAGTTTTCCCAGATATGCCGAGTTTTTTGTGACACCCCAAGGCGTTCTCCTACCACCTCACAAAATTTTAAGGGGGTTGTCAGAGGAATTTTTTTTTTCGTAATATAGCCCATATAAGGCGCCGGTCAGTCGAGGTCAGTTTTGACCCCTTTTCCGTAGACTTTTTGCCAAACCGTCACCGGCCCTCGTGTTCTATCGCCCCAAGGCAGCGTCGTGCCAAATTTGACGCGCCTGCGGCGCCGGGAAGTGCCCTGTTGGGCACTTGACCACTTTGCTTCATATATATAGATTTAAATAAATTTCTTTTTTTCTCTCCTTTTTGTTCATTATTACAAACAATCTTATTACTAAAACATTTTTCATGCATTTTTGTTTCGGTACATTAAAATTTTTAATACAGTAAATTTGCATGACTAAAAACTTTGCGCACCAAATAAACATGAAAATTTAGCGTAATTTATCATTACTCTGTAGGCCCTATAAAAAAAAAATAAAAAAAAATTAAAACTATTTATGCTCCAAATCACTACCAAACAGAAATACTTATTTTCTCTGACATTTTTTTTTATATTTCTCATAGTAAAATTTGAACATCTAAATGCGTTTTAAAGTAGGTTTGCTCCGAAGTGCAAACAAAAATAAACCGGGAGTGATCTCCCCTAAACTTTCTCGAATATTCTAATATAACACTACGTGGGATGTCAACTCGGAATATAGACATGATTTTTGTTTACTTAAACTTTTAAAAATAGAATAAAATCTAGTAGAAAAAAAATTGCGCACCAAGCGAGCACCAAAACCAAATGTGCGTAATAGTGCGCAATATTATTAGTACTTTATAAATTTACATGCGTTTTTTGAGAAATCGGAAATAGCGTAAATTAGTACCTCCGGTCAACGGAAATTACTCAAAATTTGATAGAAGGTAGAGAATTAGATCTTTTACTTACATGTGAAATTTCATTTATCTATCTAAATTAGTACTCAAGTTATAGGATTTTGAAAAATTCAAAGTAGAAAAAGTACCACTTCCGGTTATCGGAAATCGCTCAAAAGTTGATACGGATCTACGATTTTGATATAATACTTATATATATATGAAATTTCATCAACTAGCTGTAACGGTACTCAAGTAATCATGTTTACACACAGACAGACACACAGACACACACACACACAGACATACGGACAAGATTGCAAAATTATGTTTTTCCGTATCAGTGAGGTGTAAAACGTCGAGATTTGTAAAAATCTCGATTTTTTTGCACGATTACAATACTTTCTCTATACTACGTATATACGAGAAAGTAAAAAGGATACATTATATGGTTATGTCTTCAGGAACGTCGGCTCTTTTAACTGAAAATAACAAAACTAGACATAATAAATTCGGATAGGCCCATTATCAGTTAACACTTCCTAGAAATTACACATTGGTACTCCATCATTTTGAGAAGACAGTGCCAATTGTATTATGTCAAGTTGGGGAGAAAGTAATAATCAACTCTCAGTCTATTCATGCAGAATCTGATTACGTTTACAACAGATGTTGTGTATAGAGCGTTAACACGACTCCTTTAGATGTGCGCGCGTGTTCATCCGACTCTGTCCGGATATTAATTACTACATATATACTGGCTTAAAGTGTTAGTGGCACGTATGAGATCACTCCCAGTTTTGAAATGCGCGTAAATTATGACCACGAACCAAGTAGTATAGTAATGAGGAAACTGGTGAGGTCGACCTAGCCTCCATTTAATTACGATAAGCTTGTTTGTAGTTATAATACTTAACCTTATAGAGTTTTATTAAGATTAGGTACTACAAATACAAACCAGTGTATACATGTTGTATTGGCAGTAAAAAACGACATATGTAAATGTCTTTTCACATTTTGTATTCAACAGTCCCCTGTTAAATACAATCTGTATAACTGAGTTTATGTATGATGTATTTTTTATACAACAACCCTTCTTGGCGTAAAGCCTTGTCTAAACAAAACTCCTTCTTGAAGTGTTGTCTGTGTTTTAGCAACTCTCCTAACCTGGCGTTTGGGTGTGTTTTCAAATCTCTCCAAGTATGCGTTGAGACTTGTTGTTACAATCCTCCAACTCGGCGTGTAGACTTTTTGGCACAGTTTAGCCATGTAAGCCTATGCTGTGGATGGTGTTAGCCCGTAGGTTGAACGAGGGGCGTGGCGTGGTCTATCGGTAGACCTACACGCTTGGTAACCCGGAAGTGTTAATAACACGAGAAAGGTTTAACTACTACAACTACTACAACTACAACGGTGCAATGTTTGGCTTGAACTAAATACAATTCACCTTGACACTTGGGTAGACTATATACACAACTTTGTTTGATCCACGTTTTATTGCTTGTTACATTCCATTAAAAGACGGGTTAGAGGGCCCACTATGGCTATGCATTTACACGTTTACCCATTAGTTCTATTCATTGCTAATTCATAAGTCTTTCAAAAAAAATATAATACATACACTAGGCATTGATTATCATTTAATTCAAATACTAAATGAAAATGTATCTTATAAATCTTACAAAACATCACTTTACGTTTTTCCACCTTAGCTTTAAAAAAATTGAATACAATGTTTTCATAACACACTTAAAAAAAGTAAACGTAACATTTCTTTTGCTGTAGGGTTGTTGCTATAATGAATGTAATAAATCTTTAGGGCAGCCAGTGCTTTTGTTATGTTAACTAAAGAGACGAATTGTTCCCACTGAAGTCAATTTTGAACTTCTGTTAGTGCTTCCCATTTCAATTAAATCTTTAGGACTCATTCTTTTGGAATTTACAATCACGAATCAGAACTCTGTTTTCACGAGCACGTCGTTTTCATCAAATAGCCAGTAGCCCAGTAAAGCTCAGGAAGACAATATATTTTAAACAGCCATGGTGGTGGTTTAAAACCATGTGCTAATTAAAACTAATGTTTCACACACAAACACACACAGATGCTCATGCATACATTTGTCTGACTTTTGGGTTTCAGTACTTTGAGGAAAGGTGTAGGTTTGTATGAATATATTTTGAGTTAAAAACAATGTCAAAAACAAAACATGTGAAAACATTCAGAAAAAGATTTTAAATTTTAATAACTGGTTGAATTGTCTATTTTTGAACATTTAATTCACATCAACCTATACTAGGGATACAATACCAATTATAAAATACAGTTGAAACAAATTATAAATTATTGCTGATTCTAGAATAAAATTATATATTTTTTTCAAGTAAATTAAATTGAGTTGTGAGATTATTATTTTTCACACACACACACACACAAATATTTCTTTTTCTAAACTTAACCACATCATTGAGACACAAATTATAAAATAAGTATAAACCTGCCACTTTTTAAAACTTAAATCAAAATTAAAAGTGTACACAACATTTAAAATACTTACATACTTCTATTAATATAAATATGATGTAGATACAAGCATTAAGAATTATCTTAGATAAATACAAACCAGGCCCACTTGAAAATTTAAACAAACACAACCAGCACAATACATTTACAAAATCGTTATTGCTTTTTTAATGTAGTCATAATACATCGCACATGATGTAATTACTATCATTAAAACTGAACGTAAATATGTACTTAACTAAAACATTTCATGATGTAAATCTAATTAATTATTTCTCTTATACTTACATTCTGAATACTTATATAAGTAAGACTAGAGTAAATTAAATATCACTTAAATTAAAATACCACTAAAAATTAACAAACAAAACGCCAATGATAAATATTTGAAACGTTAATTCATTTAAACCTGAAGAAACTACAACCATTGCCAGACTAGCAACCACAGAAGTGTCCAATATTTTCAATCAAATTCCAGAGCATCTTTACCACTTCCCTCAGGACTGATGCCAATGGGTTGGTGGTTTAAGTCGTTGCCTTTCATCTGGTCTCCTGGATTCTTGATGCCAGTATCCCAGAGTGAGGCCATGTCTGCATATTTTCTACCTACTTCTGTGGTGTTGGAATCTGCGGCTGAAAATACAAAAAAATAATTTTGAAATAGACATTAACAAAAGAAAGACAATGTGTCTGTGTTCATATTGCATGTTTGTTTTTATATCCTCTTATACACTAGTAATGAAAAAAAAAGATTTCCTTTTAGACCTAACATTAAAGTAGCGTTTGTATGTTTCTTGACCTAGGCATATGAAGGGATAGCGTGGTCAGATCTATTCCCAGACGCCTTTATTTTTCCCAATGTAAGTTAGATACACATCAGCGCTGAGTAGAATCAATGACGTTCAATTCACTCGAGCCCGGATTCGAACACTTAAATCGTACAATACTTGAGTGTTCGGATCCCTGGCTTGAGTCTACTGTCTTGAACCTGGATTCGAACTCGAAACTTTCGGGTTAGCAGTATAAAACTCTAGAACTGGACCACGCCTTACCATTACTTCACACTTTACACGTATATCTACATTCTTTGTAAAAGACAATAAGAGTTGGAATCAATAGTGCTAATTGATTTAGTGAGTGTATAAGAAGTACACGACTCAAGGTTATGTTGGTTACATTCATTTACGCCATTGAAGTTAAAACTTTTTTTTTAAAGACTAATATCAATTAACAAGAAGGAATGTTGGGGGTGGGGGTGGGAGGGAGGGGGATAGACGAACGCATAATACGATAAATTATGTTTTAAAAAATGACATACCTTTTTTGTTTTTTTCACGTAACATTGCAATCAACAGAGAGATCGTTTTCTCTTGTTCTTTGACTAATCATTATAGATAAGAAAAAAAAATAGATTAAGGTCACGATACAGACAAACAAACCGGGAGTGACCTCCCATAAACTTAGATATACATCTAAGTATATTTCCTACATAGAATTAGATCGTTTACATATGAAATTTCATTTATCTATCTAAAATTGTATTTCTTCTTTATTCTTAATTTTTAGTGTTGGAAGTGATCAAGCCTTATCTGCCAGAAAGTTTGATTTCGAGACTTTTTTTTGCCGACTCGACCACGCCTCAATCACAATTAAGTATACGTGTCAACTGTTTATGCGCCATTGAGGCCATTGACTCCGATTTCATCCTGCTTTTCTTTTTGGAATTGCTTCCATAGCCTTTGTCCAACCAAGAACAAACTACAAGGCAACAGTTGTTTGATTTTGGAGTTGTCTTTCCTAGAAGAGTGGCTGTCACAAGCTAACGAGCCTCATCTGCCCGAGGGTTCGAACACGAGTCTTTTTGGTTTAGCAACCTTGAGCTTTACCGACTCAACCACGACCTCGAAATAGTACTCAAGTTATAGGCTTTTGCAAAATTAAACCAGAAAAAGTTCCTCACGAATCTACAAATTTAATATAATACTTATATATGCAATTTCATCAACCTACGGTACTTAAGTTATCGAGTTCACAGACACACATACACACACATACACACACAAGAACATGTGGAAAACATAGCAAAACTATATGTTTCCAACACAGGGAGGTGTAAAACGTCGAGATTTGTAATATTCGATTTTTTTTTATTACAATACTTTCTCTATACTTGGTGTACTAGAAAGTAAAAAAGTGGATAATACATCATTAGATAATAATAATAAAATATGATTTAATTGATAAGTAGATCGCCCTATTCACTATCATTCTGGACTGCAAACTATTTTTACGAACTAAACATTTGGACAATTTTTTGTTTAGAAAAATGACCTACTTTGTTTTTGAAGATTTTCCTCTTCCTTTACAAGTTCCTCATATTTCTGTCGAAGTTCCTCATTTTCAGTTACCAAATCTTCAGCACTGGTTCCTAGTTGGGTAAAGATTTTTTTACTCGTAATTAACATTGCAAAGTTAAAGAAACAGTAAAAATAATCCCCGATAAATCTTTAAAAAGAAACAAAAATTACCAATTGTTTATTTTTATGTTTTAGAAACTCAGCAACCTCGGCAGAATTCATCACCAATACATTATCAGATATTTATTTCACAACTAAACTTTCTAAGTGGGGAGAAGGATTTTCGACTGGTAGAATGCTCAAACGTAATATACAAGCTTTATATATATATATATATATATATATATATATATATATATATATATATATATATATAAAAATATATATATATATATATATATATAATATATATATATAAATATATATATATATATATATATATATATATATATATATATATATATATATATATATATATGTATATGTATATATATATATATATATGTATATATATATATATATATATATATATATATATATATATATATATATATATATATATATACGACTTACTTGTTATAACTATTTTTTTAAGACATTCAGCCAAATTTAGTATCACTCTATCTCTTGCTCTGAGTTTCTCTGTCGTTTTTGCTACTAACAAAAAAAAGTGACAGAAAAATTATTAAAATCAGATGAAATGAAATATATTCTATAAAATCCGGCAGATACAAAATAATGCAAATGTGTCTGGGGGTAAGGTTGGCAAGCAATTGATTGAACATTTCTTAATATCCCCCTTTAAATTATCTTGAATTAGGAAGTTCTTTTTGTAAAAGGAGTCTTACGTTTCTCGTTCAACCGTTTGATTTCCTTTGTTTGTTTGCCTTCTTTTTGCTGCTTGGCTAATGCTTTTTCAGTTGCATAATAGTGTTCTGTAATTTAAACAGCGTTGTTGTATAAAAATATGTATTACAATTTTAAAAATTAAGAAAATAAACAATTAACACACGTTTAAATAATAGGTAATTTTTTTCTTTAAGTTTTCATACATAGTTTTTGTTTGCAAAGTAGAACCTATCATTACATAAGCAAACCTAAATACATAAAATATTACGAATATTTTGAGACGTCTTACTTATTGTAACTTTGACTACAACAGTTTTTCATGCACTTACTTGTTGCTCTTTTGTAAATGGCCCAAAGTATTAAAATAACTGAAAATACAGTTTATATTCACATAAAAGTGCCTATATAAGGGAGATATATATATATATATATATATATATATATATATATATATATATATATATATATATATATATATATATATATATATATATATATATACAATTATATATATATATATATATATATATATATATATATATATATATATATATATATATATATATATATATATACATTAGAATGGCCAAACACAGGTTGACAGACGCACAGAAAAATGCACAGACATATTAAATTGTATAATAAAAAAAATACACTAACCTGTGATGGCTTTTCCAAAGACCCTGCGATAATCTTTAATTGTTTTTGGCGCTATAACAGTTTAAAAAGTTAATTATGAGAATGTGGTTTAAAAAATTAATAATCTATAAACGGTTATTTGGATTTATTTGTACCTTTAGGCGCTTTTGGTGGTTCTTTTATTTGATATGGCAAATACAGGTAAGGACTCCATTCATCATCGGTCGTGGAATTAGCACTTGAGTTATCTGTATGCGAAAAAGATGTATTAAAAATATAAAAGTTTGATATATATACTGCACAGTATTAATTCTAAACTCTGTTCCATCTGCGTCCTTATCCACCTTTTACCTGTATCAATATTATTTTCCACACAGCTGGGTTTTTAATGAAATCACAAGTCCCATAATCCTTGTGGGCATTTAATTAGATGTTGTGAGTAATAATGTTCATAATTTAGTTTTAATTTTACTAATATGTATTTGTAGCCTATGTATATTAAACGTTTTAGAGCTATGTAGTTGATTCTTTGCTTTGTCACTAATATCATTTAACGTGTAGTAAAGCGCATTGCCTTTCGACCAATAACAATTAAAAAAATATATATTCATCAAACAAGTACAACACTTAAAAACAGGAGGCCAAAAATTCACGTGCAACGGGTACTGATGCCTAATAGCCTATATATATATATATATATATATATATATATATATATATATATATATATATACTAGCTGCATCCCGTGCTCCGCCACGGTAAATCTTTTTAAAATATACCAACTTTGGAACAGAACAAAACAAACAAAAACACAACACAAACACAAATACATATATATATATTTATAACAAAATTGTATTAATTTTAAAATCCCAAGATTTACTGTTTTTACTTAAGCTAAATTTGAAAATTCGTTTTTTTTAAAAAGGCTAAAAACTAAAGACACAACAGGCAACAATAATCGTATGCTTTATCGAATCAATCGCCTTTATCTGGCGCCACGGACGTGTGCTATTTTGGGCTCTGGACTATCACATTAGCGCTGTAGCGCCTAAGTTCGTTTTAAATAGTGCGATAGACTATCGGTTCAGTCGGCTTTATACTCGTTCACTAAAATGAATCAGGCGCGTCGTCTTAGGACCCCGATAGGGCGCGATATGCCCCCGTGCTATCCTCGGACATTCTTCAAAGCTATCGGCAACGCGCGGGGACAGTCACGCTAGTACTTTATAAACAGTTGCATTCCTTCGAAAAGGTTAAATATTCATGATGGCCGCATCGGTCATATTTACAAAGATTCCCTCACCTATTTTTTTCAATTTAAAAACATATTATACACAGTGGCGGAACTAGAAAAAAAAGGGGCACCCCGCAAAAAATTTGTTTAGCCACCCCCCCCCTATATATATATATATATATATATATATATATATATATATGTATATATGTATGTATATATGTATGTATATATATATACAAACACAAAATAAGAACATAGTATGTGTTGGCCTCTTCGGGTTTTGTGAAAATGTTTTTTTTTCAATTAATACAGATTACAACATCATGTCATGTGTGTAAGTGTATAAGTCTGTTTTGTAAAAATCACGTTTATAATTTTTTTCGGCAATAAGACCTAACAACAGTTCAGGCAAAAGAATATAAAACAAGAAAGCTTTGTATAAGTAATGGTGTCTCGTGTTTTGTTTATTTTTATGTTTTTTTTTTGTATTTATATTATTAATTTTAAATACATTTCCTTTTTGTACAATGTCATTCTTTAGTAAGTATTTTATTTAAACAATAATTAAGAGAAGTAATTGCTTTTTAATTTGTTTTGTACAAATCTATTAAAAGGAGCTTATGAGCACCTCAATTTTATTATTTAAAACGGAAATAAGTCATGGAAGTGGTTTGAACGTTTACTTATCTTTGAAAAGTTTGATTGTAGGAGAAAGAGGACTCGGCTTTCACAGTGGTTTAAAAACAAAGGGAAAAAGAATATACAAGAGCGTGGGGTGGTGTCTATAGAATAAAGATAATCCAACTGCAGCTACGGTAATTTTTTGCAAAACCACCATCAAGTCAAAAATGCAAGAAAATTAATTATCTTTTAACAATAATTTTTTTTATTATGGTCGACTGCGGGCCCCTATACGGCGTGCCCCCCCCCCCCCTCCGCATTGCGGGGTCTGGCAGCACTGTAGTTCCGCCCCTGATTATACACTAATGTGTAGAGAAATATTGCTCCATGTTAAGCAATATATGTAATGTATGTAAATAAAAAATTTAATCAATGTCCTTCCCTCTCCCACCCCTTTCAGTTTTATAACCCCTACCCTATGTACAGAAAAAAAATGTCTGAAAGAAACTGCTAATGATTACTGTATCACCGGTAAAACTTCAACAGTTGAAGTAATTACTCACCGAATGCATATGTTGCTCCCAGGAGAAGCATAAGGACCAATATTTTCATTGTAAATGAAGTCTTACTGTCATTTTTAAAAAATGAATGCAGACAACTTGAATATAACGAAAAGCAATATATAAATATATATATATATATATATATATATATATATATATATATATATATATATATATATATATATATATATATATGTATATATATATAAATAGATATATAGATATATAGATATAAACTGTCTAAAGAAAAAAATTTCCTCTAATGGATGTTGTACATCGAGATGACACACAAATATTAGCAGATTTATCTGCTCTGGGTTTGAACTCGAGACTTTTTCGAATTTATCAACCATGAGCTTTTTGCCGACTCGACCACGCCTCCAACACAATTACGCGTTACGTGCCAACTGGTTATGCGCCATTGAGGCCATTGACTCTGATTTCAGCCTTTATCTTTTTGGATTTGCTTCCATAGCCTTTGTCCAACCAAGAACAAACTACAAGGCAGCAGTTGTTTAATTTTGGAGTTGTCTCTCCTAGAAGAGTTGCTGTCCCCAGCTAACGAGCCTCATCTGACCGAGGGTTCGAACTCGCGACTTTTTGGTTTAGCAATCATGAGCTTTACCGACTCGGCCACGCCGACCCTTGACAGGGGTGTGATTTACTTGGGGGCGATGGTAGAAAGAAATCAAGGTTTGCTAAACCGAAAAGTCGCTATTTTAGGCAAGATACGGGTTGACGTAGTGGTAAGGTATTGGTGACAGAAAATTGCCCACAGCTAAAGTGTCGTCACTTACCCGTATCTTGCCTAAAATAGCCACCCAGCAACACTCGTAAATTATGATACACGTATGTGTCTTTGCGTATTAGTCAAATAAGTTTCCTCGTCAAGTGGGGGCTTGGCAGTCTGGGTCTGTTCCTGTTTACCCAGATTTTTAGCTGGTTGAGCTGGAAGTTTAGAGTTCGTGTAAGAGGCGTAGCGGGGACAAACTTTAGATTTGCACCCCCCCCCTCAAACTTGCGATTTGCACCCACCCCCCTCAAACTTTCAGTTTGTTTTTCCAACCCATTTTGGCGCCCCCTACGGACAGCACCCTAGGCGACCGCCTAGTTCGCCTTATAAGTAGCGCCGGCCCTGACTCTACTTCATCTGCGCAATGTATCTCTATGCCTAAAGAGATATCTTTCTGTTTTTTACATAACTTTAATCAATTTAAATCATTGCTTTATTACCATTGCATGCTCTAATATAGAGTATAGACCACACCGCACCTGTCAAGTAACATCCACCACACTTTGAATAAAAAGTACAAAGTGTGTTGGAAAACAATTTCATGCTCTGCGCACACACGTCCACACGTACACAGAAACTCCACCTACTTGGTTGTAGCTGGCTTTAAATAGACCCGAGTGGCTGTTGATGTCAATGGCCTCTTTGTTAGACTATACCAAGGCGTCGGTGTCAGCTGTCAGCTCTTCCTCGAACCCGTCTAGCGGGACCTGTAGGTCGCCATCTTTGTCGTCACGTAAACAGTTGATGACGCCAAGGATGTTTAAAGATGCCCTACAGAAACTGACATGAAATGGGGCATAAATGGGGAATAGTGGGGAATAATTAACCGTCGGGGTGGGGAAGTTTGAGTGGGCTGTGATTTTGGTGTGAGAGTTTGGTTTGAGAAGCGACACGGTTTAACAATGCTAAGAAATCGACACGGTTCAAAGGTCAAACAGAAGTAGTTGAGGTATAATTGTGTAAGAATCTGTGATAAAAATGATAGATATGTAATGATTCAAAGTGAATGCGTGCTTAAAATGTCTATTTCTCTCTTCTTCTTCTTCTTCGTTCTTAATTTTTAATGTTGAAAGGAATTCCCTACAACACAGTTAAGTATTACGTGTCAACTTGTTATGCGCTATATATGCCGTTGACTCCGATTTCAGCCTGCTTTTCGTTTTGGATTTGTTTCCATAGCCTTTGTCTAATCAAGAACAAACTACAAGGCAGCCAGTTGTTTGATTTTGGAGTTGTCTTTTCTAAAACAATTGCTGTCCTCAGCTATCGAGGCTCATCTACCCGGGTATGTCTCTCAATTAAAGAGATTATAAACAAAAGTTAGGTTTTAAGTTTATGGACTGATGTGAATACTAAAGAAATAAGTCGTTATTTCTAATCTTTATGAATCGTTAGCCTTTAAAGTTTAAAATTAGAATGTTTCGTGCGAGAAATAATGTTATTCTCCCTTAATTAATCCTTACTTATAGGCTACATTCTTATTTGACAAAGCCGAATTTGTAAGCGATATAAAACCGAAAGCAAAACCAAACTTAACACAGAATATATTGCTATTTTTGATAGATCTACCTACAATTCCAAATCTTTGAAGTAATCGATTACAATACACCACTACATTAAACTAAAAACCTAACGCAAACATTACGAATCATTGCTATGTCAGCTCCAAAAAGGTTAAAGTGTTGTTTTTGTTCTTGTCTATAGTTAACTCACTGTTCCTATCTTTCGCGGATAATTTAAAAAAAACCAACTACTTAGATCTAGACCTAGATGTAGACTCTAGAATATATTACCTAGATCTAGATTTTAGATCTTGATCAAAATGTTTAAAAAGAAGGCTGTCAATCTAGATCCTACCTTTCACAATTCGAACAAGATTTTACCATACGAATCTTGTAGCTATATTGGAGCTGATTTAGAAGCCGAGAATAAAATTGCGAAATGTTTTCCAGTCCTTGTTCTCCATACCATAGTTATAATGTCACAATTGTTTAATGTTTCTTTATTTGCTCACTTTCCTAATAACTGTTTCTGTCCCACCATTACAAACGTCATTTATTTTCGAGCACCGGAAGTGGGAATTTTATAAAAGATATGGCGTCGAGATTATACCAGCGATTAGAAAATTGACGTCTAGGATCAAGTAGTTGGGAGGCTGTCTGTGGAAGACCTACGGTCTAGAGCCAAGTGTACCAAACTAACGACTTCCAGGTAGGCAAGCGCGTGTTTTACCGCTAGACCAAGCTATTCCCTATTATGTAATTTACTATGGTCCAAATAGCTATGGTGGAGATTCAATTTAAAAAAAATAAGTAACCAAGTACTGCTTTCTCATATTATTCAGCATTTAAAATTCTAATTGAAATTAATTATGTTAATTACACAAGGTCAGTCAGTCTAGTCACCTTGACCTTAATATCCCTATGACAAAAAAAATGTTTAATAGCTTGCACGGTGGTGTGTGTAGGTCTATTAATAGAATGATTGAATGTAGCATAACAAAAGGGTAGGTAAGGGGAAATTTTCTATATAAATTCTGTTAAGTTGGTGGTGGGGTAAATTTTATTAGGGTAGGGGGGGGGGTACCCGATCTCCCCCCCCCCCCCCCCCCCTTCCCCTCCCCCGAGAGATACTCGAAAGAAACTCTTGAGTAGCAGTCTGTGGTTAAAATTCATGATTGTAAAACCGAAATGGTCCCGAATTCGAAACCCCGGGCAGATGAAGCTGGGGACAGAAACCCATCTAGGATAGAAAACTCCAAAATCAAAACCCTGCTACCTTGTAGCTTTTTCTTGGATATACAAAGACTTTAAAAGCATACCTAGAAAGAAAAGTAGGCTGAAATTGGAGTCAGCGGTCTATATGGTGCTTAACAAGTTGACACGTAATACCTAACAAGTTGACACGTAATACTAAAGGGGGTCGGAGTAAAACCCTCCCAACATTACAACTATGATAAAAGAAGAAGAAAAAGTAGATGTCTACATTTTTAACTCCGACTTTCAACTAATCAGTAATTGCTGCTCAAAAAAGGATATTTAATATTTTATATTTTTTCCAATCCCTATTCTTCCTTCCCCCCCCCCCCCCCCCTCCATCCAGCTGCACCTCGGCTATACGACGGTCTTAATTTTAGAGAGGAAGTCTATCTTTTACTTTAGCAATCCGAATACACTGAAATTACGCGTCAACTTTGGTGTGGTGTGTAACATCGGATTTTCCCAGCGCACCAACAAGAAACAGTGCGGCCATTAGTTCCGGCCACGTTCTGAAAACATTTGCTAAACAGTTGTTGACTTTAAAAGTCACGAAAAAATGTATTAATCAGAATAACAGGCCTTTTTATTTACTAACCGCTGTTTTATTTATAAATAACCAACTCCAAAGTTTCTTATAGATTATAAGTTCTTGTTCGAGTCAATGCCCGACCAACTTTATCACTCTACTCGTTTCTATTATTAGCAATAGACTCTAGAAGGAATCCAACTGAAGAAGCAGATTGAGGTATGTTCTATCCTCGCCAATGAACGTGTAATGTCAGGTTTCTAATTAATTAGCGATATCATGATGCAGTTGTCTTGAAACTATCTTGAAAATTTAGTCGTTTTGCTCATCATTAACCCACTCCCTCGCACGTAACAGATTAGAGTACGTGTTAGGTTTTTTTGAGGGTTCCTACTAGTTCTAATTCGTGTAGGTTCTAGAAATTTCGAACGCATGCTAAATATAGATTTTTCGTGGATCGCTTGAAGGGTTCCCATTGCAGGTTCTGTTTATGATATAAATACCATGGTATGTTTTGGATATGGATCATTGTGTACGTCCTGTTTGGGATATCATTTTATTTAATGTAATGTTTGTGATATGATTCACATTCCTAATTGTGTCTTGGTTACAACTGTAGGTCATGTTTGTGAAATTTGTTCTTAGTGTAGGTCATTTTTTCGATATGGTTCTCATTTTAAATCCAGTTTTGATATGCTTAGCATTTTAGGTCCTGTTTTCGCTATGGTTATGTTTGTAGGTTATGTTTGTGACTTGGTTACAACTGTAAGTCATGTTTGTGACTCGGTAATCGCTGTATGTCATGTTTGTGACTTGGTTCCCGCTTAAATCATATTTGTGACTTGGTTACAACTGTAGGTCATGTTTGTGACTTGGTTACAACTGTAGGTCATGTTTGTGACTTGGTTCCCACTGTAAGTCATGTTTATGACTTGGTTAAAACTGTAGGTTATGTTTGTGGTTTGGGTACAACTGTAGGTCATGTTTGTGACTTGGTTCCAACTGTAAGTCATGTTTGTGACTTGGTACCCGCTGAAGGTCATGTTTGGGACTTGGTTACAACTGTAGGTCATGTTTGTGACTTTGTTCCAACCGTAAGTCATGTTTGTGACTTGGTACCCGCTGAAGGTCATGTTTGTGACTTGGGTACAACCGTAGGTCATGTTTGTGACTTGGTTACAACCGTAGGTCATGTTTGTGACTTGGGTACAAATTTTTTACAAGAATTAAAAAACAGATAGTGTTACGTTCATTGTTTTTGGTTGTAGTTTGTGTAGGCCCTATATTTTGTTTATTTTTTTTTTAGATTGATACAATTTTTGTTTTGTCGGCCTACATTGTGTGTTTGTTCGTATTTCTTCAGAGTGCTACTTTCAATTTATTTTACATCATAGCGAAGTAATGACATACAGCTAGTAATTATATTTATATATATATATATATATATATATATATATATATATATATATATATATATATATATACATACATATATATATATATATATATATATATATATATATATATATATATATATATATATATATATATATATATATATATATATATATATATATATATATACTACACGTACATAGAACGTGTTAAAAATTCGGCGTCTTTTTTTTTGCTCTTTTCGATTCCCCTACAACGAACACTTGGATATGCCTCTGGTGACGTGGTTCACTTTGTAGCCACTAAATGTGACGTAGTTCCCACTGTTAGCTACTAAATGTGACATGGTTCCCACTGTTAGCTACTAAATGTGACACGGTTCCCACTGTTAGCTACTAAATGTGACATGGTTCCCACTGTTAGCTACTTAATGTGACACGGTTCTTATTGTAGCTACTAAATGTAACATGGTTCCCACTGTAGCTACTAAATGTGACACGGTTCTTATTGTAGCTACTAAATGTAACATGGTCCCCAAGGTAGCTACTAAATGTGACACGGTTCCCACTGTAGCTACTAAATGTAACATGGTTCCCACTGTAGCTACTAAATGTAACATGGTTCCCACTGTAGCTACTAAATGTTACATGGTTCCCATTTTAGCCACTAAATGTAACATGGTTCCCACTGCAGCTACTAAATGTGACACGGTTCCCACTGTAGCTACTAAATGTTACATGGTTCCCATTGTAGCCACTAAATGTAACATGGTTCCCACTGTAGCTACTAAATGTAACATGGTTCCAACTGTAGCTACTAAATGTAACATGGTTCCCACTGTAGCCACTAAATGTGACATGGTTCCCACTGTAGCTACTAAATGTGACACGGTTCCCACTGTAGCTACTAAATGTGACATGGTTCCCACTGTAGCTACTAAATGTAACATGGTTCCCACTGTAGCTACTAAATTTGACACGGTTCTCACGGTACCTACTAACTGTCACAAGGTTCCCACTGTAGCTACTAAATGTGACATGGTTCCCACTGTAGCTTCTAAGTGTTACATGTTTCCAACTGTAGCTACTAAATGTGACATGGTTCCCACTGTAGCCACTAAATGTGACATGGTTCCCACTGTAGCTACTAAATGTGACATGGTTCCCACTGTAGCCACTAAATGTGACGTGGTTCCCACTGTAGCCACTAAATGTGACATGGTTCCCACTGTAGCTACTAAATGTGACACGGTTCCCATTGTAGCTACTAAATGTAACATGGTTCACACTGTAGCTACTAAATATGACATGGTTCCCACTGTAGCTACTAAATTTGACACGGTTCCCACTGTAGCTACTAAATGTGACATGGTTCCTATTGTAGCTACAAAATGTTACATGGTTCCCATTGTAGCCACTAAATCTGACATGGTTCCCACTGTAGCTACTAAATGTGAAACGGTTCCCACTGTAGCTACTAAATGTGACATGGTTCCCACTGTAGCTACTAAATGTGACTTGGTTCCCACTGTAGCCACTAAATGTGACATGATTCCCACTGTAGCCACTAAATGTGACATGGTTCCTACTGTAGCTACTAAATGTGACATGGTTCCTATTGTAGCTACTAAATGTTACATGGTTCCCATTGTAGCCACTAAATGTGACATGGTTCCCACTGTAGCTACTAAATGTGAAACGGTTCCCACTGTAGCTACTAAATGTGACATGGTTCCCACTGTAGCTACTAAATGTGACATGTTTCCCACTGTAGCCACTAAATGTGACATGGTTCCCACTGTAGCTACTAAAAATGACATGGTTCCCACTGTAGCTACTAAATATGACATGGTTCCTACTGTAGCCACTAAATGTAACATGGTTCCCATTGTAGCTACTAAATGTAACATGGTTCCCACTGTAGCCACTAAATGTGACATGGTTCCCACTGTAGCCACTAAATGTGACATGGTTCCCACTGTAGCTACTAAATGTGACATGGTTCCCACTGTAGCTACTAAATGTGACATGGTTCCCACTGTAGCTACTAAATGTGAAACGGTTCCCACTGTAGCTACTAAATGTGACGAGGTTCCCACTGTAGCTACTAAATGTGGCGTGGTTCCCACTGTAGCGACTAAATGTGACGTGGTTCCCACTGTAGCGACTAAATGTGACGTGGTTTCCACTGTATCTACTAAATATGACATGGTTCCCACTGTAGCGACTAAATGTGACGTGGTTCCCACTGTAGCTACTAAATGTGACATGGTTCCCATTGTAGCTACTAAATGTGACATGGTTCCAACTGTAGCTACTAAATGTGACATGGTTCCCACTGTACCTACTAAATGTGACATGGTTCCCACTGTAGCCACTAAATGTAACATGGTTCCCACTGTAGCCACTAAATGTGACATGGTTCCCACTGTAGCTACTAAATGTGAAACGGTTCCCACTGTAGCCACTAAATGTGACTTGGTTCCCACTGTAGCTTCTAAGTGTCACTAGTTTCCAACTGTAGCTACTAAATGTGACATGGTACTTACTGTAGCTACTAAATGTGACATGGTTCCCATTTTAGCAACTAAATATGACATTGTTCCCACTGTAGCTACTAAATGTGACGTGGTTCTCAAGGTAGCTACTAACTGTCACTTGGTTCCCACTGTAGCTTCTATCTTAAGGACATAATAATATTCAAATCTACGACAATCAATATTGAAATGTTGTTTTTTGTAATTTGTGTACAATTTTTATTTTGTATATATTTTATATACAGCAATTACATTTTATAAAGTTAATTCATGGATCAGTGTAGTAATCCCAGGCCACTGAAAATACGATTATGTTGACATAATTTAAATAATTAAAATTTAAAAAATATAATAGATTCTTGTAGAAAAAAGTATTGCACAGCAAACAATATCTATTAATAAAAGCCCATAAGCGCACCTCTCTCTCTTTCTCAATCTCTCAATCTCTCTATCTCTCTCTCTGTATTTCCAGAGGTTAAGAGATCAGTATCTTCAGCAATATATGGATAACTTTAAAATACGGACTTTTTTAAAAATAATATGTTGGGTGTTTTAAATATATAAACTACATTGTATTTAAAGAAAGAAAATAAAAAAAAACATTCGAATGAAGAAATACATTTTAATTAGGGGTCATCCATTTATGACGTCCACACGTGCTTAAATTTAATAATTTAAAAAATAAATATAAAAACTGATCATACATTGTAGATCATACATTAAATAGGCCGTTCTTGTAGTAAGCATCAGAAATGTAGCTGTTTACCACCCGCCAAAGAAAAAAAGCGATTTTTTTTTAAGAAACGGGAGGGGATGGAGCAATGACCGCGGCAATTTTCTAAAACAGTTCATGGTATTTAAAGTTTATTTTCAAACGTTTCAAGCAATTGTAACTAAATCATAGTAGACCTACATCATTATTTTGTATCATAGCCTAAGATGATGTAGATGTAGTCATTTTTTTTAAGTAAAAAACTCAAAATAAACACGTTACAATTAAATATTTAAAAAACATAGTGTGCAAATGCGCTCGCTTGGTCAGGTGTGTAGGGCTCACGGTCAGCCCGACCACAAAAAGGGAGAGAGGTGGTTTGTTATAGAAGCACATGCAGCGAAAAGTTGAGAAAAAGTAATATAATGACTTCACGTTGATTAGCCGAATGTATATCGTTGATCGCTAGACACCCACAAATGACAGTAAAAGGTTCGGTCTACAGCATCTTCAATTTAAAAAAAAAAGTATGACTGCCTGCAGTGGGTAAAAAAGCCTTTAAAATTGAGGGGCAGGGTACACATTCTTTCAAAAAAGAACAATGTTAGAACATTCTCATTTACTCGGTAGGTTTACACGCCGTAGACTTGCGGAAATCTAGTAAAAGTTGTGTGGGACTGGGAGACTAAGTAGATGAGTTATGTGGGAGACTGTGAGTACAGAGGTATGTGAGAGAAAATTAGGTAGAAGAGTTGTGTAGGAGACTGTAAGAAGAAGAGTTGTGTGGAAGACTGTGTGAGAAAATGTGGGTAGAGTTGTGCTGGAGAATGTGGGTAGAGTTGTGCTGGAGACTGTGTGAGAAAATGTGGGTAGAGTTGTGCTGGAGAATGTGGGTAGAGTTGTGCTGGAGAATGTGGGTAGAGTTGTGCTGGAGACTGTGTGAGAAAATGTGGGTAGAGTTGTGCTGGAGAATGTGGGTAGAGTTGTGCTGGAGAATGTGGGTAGAGTTGTGCTGGAGACTGTGTGAGAAAATGTGGGTAGAGTTGTGCTGGAGAATGTGGGTAGAGTTGTGCTGGAGAATGTGGGTAGAGTTGTGCTGGAGAATGTGGGTAGAAAAGTTGTGTGGGAGACTGTGGGTAGAGGAGTTGTGTGGGGGACTGTGGGTAGAGGAGTTGTGTGGGGGACTGTGGGTAGAGGAGTTGTGTGGGGGACTGTGGGTAGAGTTGTGCTGGAGAATGTGGGTAGAAAAGTTGTGTGGGAGACTGTGGATAGAGGAGTTGTGTGGGATACTGTGGGTAGAGGTGTGTGGGAGACTGTGGGTAGAAGAGGTGTGTGGGAGAATGTGGCTAGAGGAGTTGTGTGGGAGACTGTGGGTAGAGGAGGTGTGTGGGGGACTGTGGGTAGAGGAGGTGTGTGGGGGACTGTAGGTAGAGGAGGTGTGTGGGGAACTGTGGGTAGAGGAGTTGTGTGGGAGACTGTGGGTAGAGGAGATGTGTGGGAGACTGTGGGTAGAGGAGATGTGTGGGGGACTGTGGGTAGAGGTGTTGTGTGGGAGAATGTGGGTAGAGGAGGTGTGTGGGAGACTGTGTGTAGAAAAGTTGTGTGGGAGACTGTGGGTAGAGGAGTTGTGTGGGAGACTGTGGGTAGAGGAGGTGTGTGGGGGACTGTGGGTAGAGGATATGTGTGGGAGAATGTGGGTAGAGGAGGTGTGTGGGAGACTGTGGGTAGAGGAGGTGTATGGGAGAATGTGGGTAGAGGAGGTGTGTGGGAGAATGTGGGTAGAGGAGGTGTGTGGGAGACTGTGGGTAGAGGTGTTGTGTGGGAGACTGGGTAGAGGAGTTGTGTGGGGGACTGTGGGTAGAGGAGATGTGTGGGGGACTGGGTAGAGGAGGTGTGTGGGGGACTGTGGGTAAAAAAGTTGTGTGGGAGACTGTGAGTAGAAGAGGTGTGGGAGATAGTGGGTAGAGGAGTTGTGTGGGGGACTGTGGGTAGAGGAGGTGTGTGGGGGACTGTGGGTAGAGGTGTGTGGGAGACTGGGTAAAGGATTGTCTCTATACAAAGCGGTTGTGATGTTAAAGTGTGCACACTTTTCATGCACACTTTATTCATATTTACTTTAAAAAGTGCACACTTAGATTCATTACTAAATACCATCAGGAAATATTGTAATTCCTGTTTACATGTGATTAGTCGTTAGGTCTCTAAAATCTGCAAACAATGTTAAAAAACTATTCCAATTAGTTTTTTGAATAAAAAGTATATTTTTATTCCTAGTTAAGTTGATGATGGCCGAACAGAATCAAGATCTGCTTAGCTCGATGGAAAACATATTTGATTGTATTTTGGAATGGGCTGAAGACCCAATGTTGGCTGTTATGTTAGATGTTATTGGATCTTTAATATTGGTAGAGTAAGTACTAATTTTGTAATTTCTATTTTTAAGTACATAGTTCTGTGACTTGTAAAGTAGTATGTGGCTGTTTTCAGGATCTCAGCATATAAATGGTCGATAATGCAATCAGCTCTAATATTACTAATACAATAGGGTAAAACGTTAGTTTTACCGGTAAGTATCCGGTAATGTTAGTTGAGTTTCGTATACATAAGTTATTATAAACTATAAACCAAGTTTTTTTACCACTGAAATATAAAAATAAATTCCTCTAAATAATTACATTTTTTTTTATATCCGACTTTATAAAACTGTAAATTGAAAAATGCGATGCGGGAAACAAATTTTATTTTTTAATGAAATTTTTTCGTAAGAGCATGGACGGTCAGGTCTAACGGTAGAGCGTTCGATTCCTTACGCGAAAGTTTCGAATTACATTAGGGAAAGTAAAGACGGCTTGTCATAGTGTTAACTACTCTATCCCTTTCATATTCCGATGTCACAAAAAACAGGTAAATTACTTCACTGCCCCAGCGACCATCATCTTTGAACAGGGGATCATAATGGTGTTTTATCTGCTCTTTTGTTGTAATTCGCCTAAATTATCTCACTGGTGCGCTGTTGTAGGGTATTTATCTTTAAGGAAAAGGGGTTTTATAACTTGTACAGTCCGCCTATGACCATACACTCTCCACAACATACTATGGTCATATCAGTAGCGTCTCTAGGTCGGGTGTCACCTGATGCGGCACTTCGTGGTGTCAACACCCCCCCCCCCCCCAAGAAACAATGTATAGGCCTATATATATATATATATATATATATATATATATATATATATATATATATATATATATATATATATATATATATGTTTGTGTGAGTGTGTGTGTGTGTATCACCAACATAGACCTATAGTTTAAATACATGCCACATACGGGTACATGTATGTGTATAACCTTTATTCACTGCAGATTTAATAGTAACGATGTTTATCTATAGTCTGCTAATAATAGTATTTATGGTGTCACCCCCTCCACCCCCCCCTCATCGCTTGTAATAATAGTCGTTTTGTACTGAAAAGACTATTGAACTTTAATTTAATCACTAAAGGATCTGGCAAAAGGCATTTTCTTCTGTACATTTTGCAATATTTTGACTTGGTGTCACCCCCCTAAATGGTGTCACCCGTTGGGGTTTGCAACCCCCGCCCCGCTCTCGCTACGCCTCTGGGCGATATTATATACAACTATTTTTTGCCAATAGATCAGTGTATTTGATATTTTAAAATCATTTTGTCAGCAATATGTTGTTTCCATTACGTGTCGTGTAATGTTTTACTGACATTTTACTGTATAGTTACAGTGTTGGAACATATGTTTTGTACACATGCTATAGTTTGCATAAAATTTGACCAATGGAGATGAAACAACTTGTTTAAATGATTACTAGTATGTCCTTTATTTCAGGCTGCCGAGACATCTTTTTAAGTTGGTGTCCTTGTTAACAGCAAGTGGAGCACTGTATATGTTTGGAAAACCTACCCCTGTGATATGGTTAACAATTGTGTACAGCTCTTACCAGATAGTCACAGAATTCGTGTATGCCCACAAGGATACTGCTGACTCAGACGTTGACATTGATGAAGAAACTTTGGATGAAGAAGACAAATCCATCGCAGATGTACTCAGCGTTCTTGAGGGGGTAATTACGCATAAAGTGAACTCACAGCACGAAACAGATGCTAATGTTGATAATTTTAAACCAAGCGCCACGGTACCCATTCAGAGTAAATTGTCAAGAGATAGTTTTAAAAATGATCCAGAAACAAGTCAGTCTGTACCAGCAGGATTAGTTAATAGTGGCAATTATTGCTTTTTTAACTGTTTTATACAGTGTATAGCTTGCAATATGAAGATACATGACTTTTTAAATTTAATAAATGACAAATCTGAAATTAAATCTGAAGCATTGAAAGCTGTTCTTGGAATAGTTCAGGAGATCAAATCATCATCACAGCCTGCTGTGGAAACTACACGTTTCATACCAGCCATAGCCAAACAGTTCAAGATCGTTAGAGAAATTGAGCAAAAACAGGAAGACGCCGCGGAAATGCTTTTTCTTTTTTTTTCCCATTTGCAAGATTTGGTGGGAAAAAACAGTATGTACTTGCTTAAGTCTATACTATATAGGGCCTCTAGGCTCATACCTAAGAAATGTTTTTAGTTGTTTATTATCCATTTAGTGAATTGTCTTTAGAGAAAATTTAATTAACACAAAATGTTTGCTTTGGCTAAGGTTAATTAACTATCCTGAATGTCTTTTTTTGTCCTTAGCAAACAAAGCTTTACTCTCGCAGGAGTCTAGAGAATTTAAAAGAAAAAATGTCCGTTACACCAAAGAGAGAAGACAAACTCTAACAGAACAATTTAAAACAAAGGTATAGATTAATAATGTTCTTACCTTATTACTATTTTTTTTACTGCTAACCCGTAAGTCTCGAGTTCGAATACGGGTTTAAGTCAGTAGAACGTTCCTAAGTATCCCCAACTCTGATAGGAACGTAAGTCACATTAGGGAAGTAATGGTGGCTGTGCAAATAGTTGACTACACTATCCCTTCATAATAGAAATCGGCGTAATGTACTTCACGTGACCCATGGACTGTAAGGTCTGAAAAGGGAACGATACTTGTTTTTTTTTATAAAGCGGTTTAGCATTTTAATTTAATACAAATGGATACATTTTGGTTATTAATGTTCATAATAGCTTGTGAATGTTATATTTCTTTTGTGTGAAAGGCAGCCTTATCCCAACTTCTCAAACTTCCCCTATTCTCCATTTCATTTTAACCCATCTTCTGCCTCCCTTCTTTTTTTTATATAGAAGTCATACAAAGTTTGGGTCTTAGTGAGAGTAAGTCAATTTTGGGTGAAGTGGCTTGGTAAAGATGGTGTTGACATTGGGAGATATCGGTTTGTGTTACACATATGCAAACATCGTTTTCTAATAAGGAAATTGGGTTCTAGTAAGAAACTAAAATAGATTTAAAAAGCAAACATGTTAATGTATTTTTATTAGAGCCACTTAAGAATTATAAATATGTATTTCGAGTTACTTAAGAATGAACACATGAATTTTATAATACACTGCAAAATTGGGTAGCAACCATGTTATTTGTAACTTGGAATCCAATGCAATAGCCATACAAAATTAGTCTTAATTTGGGTATGGACTACGATAAATAGAATCTAAATACTTTAACAACGAGTGTCCAACGTTTTATACCCTTTGCGTAAAAAGACGAATTTGTCCCGTACTTTAAAATTGACACAAATGATATTGAGAAAACTTAGAGCTGTTGAACTTGCTTTAAAAAAAATATTACGTCATAGACGCAACAAAAATAATTTTTACTTTCTCGTATACCGAGTTCAGAGGAAGTATTGTAATCGTGCATAAAATCGTATTTGATGTTTTTCACAAATCTTGACGTTTTAGACCTCACTAAGTCTGAAAAACTAATTTTGCAGTCGTGTCTCTGTGTATGTGTGCATGTGTCTTGCGTACAGTTGAAGCTAGGTTAATTAGATTTCATATATAAGTATTACCTTAAGTTTGTAGTTTCGTGTCAACTTTCAAGCCATTTCCGTTAAGAGGAAGTAGAACATATTCTACTTTCGTTTTTTAAAGCTTATCACTTAAGTACTGTTTCTGACAGATAGATGAAATGTTAACAATAAGTAAAAGATTTAATACTCTGCCTTCCTTAAAATTTTGAGTAATTTACGATGACCGAAAACATTACTTTAAGCTTTAAGTATCATCACTACTAAATCTTTAGGACTAAATACATCGCTTAAAATGTTTTATTCAATGACACGTTTGTATGACGAGAAAATAAGTACTTTTGCTGGATATTAGCACCTGTCTCTTTTTCTAAACAATGGTACATGTGAGATAAATATGCATTTTTGTTCTGGTATCAACTACCATCGCTATATATTACAAGCTGTTTGATTTTGTTGTTAGTGCCAATTTAGTTTTTAAAATGTGTGTATTGCAAATATGCAAACACTTCATCTGAAACATCCCCTTTGGTTTCATCTCAGACTTAACAATATCCATCTCTAGTACATAATTTATACAGAGTGAAATTATGGACCTGTAATTTTGTCTTGTAATACAATGTGCTTGCTTTGCTCTGATGACAAATTAGCACTAATTGAGTGTCCCTAGTCCAGACTGAGACACCACTTTCATCCAACAATCCTCTTTTTTTTTATCTTGTTGTTTTTAGTTTCGAGCATCGTCCTTTAAAGCTAAACAAATCAAATGTTCTTCTGTAGTAATATTTCCCATTTTAGCCGCAATACAAGTGTCACATTGGTCTCAGCGGGGAACAAAAATTGACATATTAAGGGATTGAAAGATAGTTTAAAGTATGTGGCCCCAGCTACTAATCTTCTGATACGGGTTGCATCTGATTTATATACGTTGTATAAATCAATTACTTTAGTGCCTGGTAGAACAAAATGTTTTCCTTATCGGCAGGAACTTTTCGGCAATAATGAGAGTCCACACATGATACTTCAAACAACCTTGAATTTTTTTTCCTCATTTGACATATTTCGACAGGGACTTTCTTTTCAAGCTCTTACTCTTCCTTGCAATCTTCTAGGTGGAAATCATTTTTACCATCACTTATCGAATCATTA